GCGTCCCGGGCCAGGCCGGGGCCGGGGCCATTTGCAGCGCAGGAGGACAGGAGAAGAGCTTTGCAGAGCCACGCATGGAGCTGCAGGAGGACGCCGAGGCCGCCGTGGCCATCGACATGCTGCTGATCGTGCACCCGGAGGAGCAGCCGCCGCGGGCGCGGGCCGAGCCGGGCGCCAGGCTGCAGCCGCTGCAGCAGCGCCGAGCAGGTAAAGCCGGGGTTCACCCCAGGTGTGTGTGGGGGGGACGCACCTCCCCCCTCCTCCCCAGGCTGGGCTCCCTCCGACCAGGAGGAGGAGGAGGGTGGGCAGGGGGAGGAAGACCTAGGCGCACCCCCCCCAACCTCTCCTTTATCCCCACCCCACTTGCTGCCCAGGACACCCCGGGGGTCCCCATGGCAACGCCTGCCTGGCCATTGTCCCAGGCTGACTCCCTGGGGCACAGGCCCCGGGAGGGGTGGGGTGGTTACCTGCCCGCCCCCACGGTGAGGGGTGTGCAGTGGGGATCAGAGCCTCAGGCTGATGACACCCGGACCCCATCCTCCCCACACGTACACCCCCAGCCGGCCAAGTTCTCTCTGTGTGGGTGTGTGTAACTATGGACCAGGCCCACGCACACACCGACGCCTGGATAAGCTAAGGAGCTCCTGGGGTTGGGGAGGCCTTAACAACTGAAGTCTCCTGCCTGGGTTTTCCTCATCTCTTGAGCCAGGTGACATGGAGAAGAAGGTACGGAAGAGAGAAACAGGGGTGCGTGCAGGTGTCTGTAAGGATGGGGCAGGGGGCGGAGGGGGGGTTGGAAATCCGCTGTCCCCACCCCCCCCCACACACACACCCCGCTGGCTCAAACGTGTCCCTTTGGTGATTTGGAAGCGGAAACTCACAGAGGAATTGGGTGCTGAGTGAGCATGGGTGGGAAGCAGGCCTGAGTGTTTTCAGGATGCACAGTGCGAATAGCATGTATATGGTTCTTCAAAAAAAAAAAAGATGGATGTTCAATAAGCCCATAAGACGTGCAGAGACCTTGGGGTGTCCTGGATTTCCCCCCTTCGCCACCCCTCCACCCCCCGCAAGGAAGCCTGCAGCAATGGTGGCTTCTGGGTGCACTAGACTGCATGCCTTCTTCATGAAGGATGACTGACCACAGTGCAGAAAATGACTTCGGCATCCACACACCCCTCAACCCTAGAGTACCCCCCCCCGTGCCCCCGCAGTCCTGCTCTGCCTTGACTCTCACCTCCCCAGATCCTCAGAGCACAGCAAGCATCCATCAGCTGTCTTAACTGTCCTGCAGAAAGGGACGGTCCTGTGGGCAGCCGTGCCCTACCAGCTACAGGCTGAGGTGGCCCAGTAGCTTGTTGGGAAGGCAATCAAGGAAAGGAAATAGGCTGGAGGGCTGAGGAGGATTGGAGGCCTGGGACTGTTTACTTGAGTTGTTTATTGCAGGGTGAAAGAAAATAGCCCACCCAAGGTCCTTGCAGATAGGAAAGAGCAGAATCTCAGAACCAACATGAGATTCCCCCCTACGGTGTGCCCTTACTGTGGTGGTCAGGCCCAGGAGCCCCCAATTCCCAGTCTCCTGCAATCACATCTGTCCCAAAGATTCAGCCATCAGAGAGAGACAGAGAGAGCAAAGAACACAGAGAAACTCAGAGTAAGAAGGCCAGGCCTGGGAATAGCCACTGAGGGGTCAAAGCTCCAGGACACCAGACCAATGTGCCACCTAGGAGCTATATCCATGATCTGAAGCTAAAGGCGCCTCTGCTTGATAAATACTGGCACTTTCTTGAAGATGCTATAGAGAGGACTGTATCAACAATTCACAAATGGTCTGCACCAGAGTAGAGGAAAAGGAAGTGCCCAGCCCTCCAAGGTCTGCAAACAAACCCCAGATTCTCCCTCCCTCTGCAGAGCCATTATCCCCTCCAGGATGCCTCTTCCTTGCCTCTGCCAAGCAAGGCCTGAGCCCCATGTCAGAAGAAGGAAGTCTGAGCCACTTTCACAACACAGACAGGCCCAGTGGCCCCGCTGTCAGAAGGGCATCCGAGGGACAGGAAGGAGAGCACAGGAAAAGCTGGTCACTAGGGATCTGGACTGTCAAAGCCAGCAGATGCCCTCTCCCCTTTGCTCACGGACTCTCACGTAGTTTTCTCAGCAAGTTCCTTATAACCACACTGGCTCAGAAAGCACATGCAGGAAGGAGTTCACTTAGCCCTGTAGCCATGGAAGACAGAGACCCCCCTCCCCTAAAGCTGCCTGCACCAAGTCTGGAAGGGCCTCAAGTCTAACAGAAGTCTATGTGACTCGTGCACTCTGCTTCATGAGTTACATCATGAACCAATCCAAGCGGTAATCTCCAGACTTTTATCGTGTGGGAGTGGCTGGGAAGACTCTGCAGAACCGAAAGGGGGCTTAAGAGGACCTGGGGGCTTCTGAGTGGTTCAAAGCGTGGAGAACCAGAGACTCCTGGGAACTGATCTGCTCTGTGTGCCACAGAGCTGGTCTGATGAGGAAATCTATCAAATCTACCAAAGGTTACACCAAGGCGCACTTCCACACAAGTGACTCATTTTGACTGCAGTGACCTCCCCACCCCCCGCTGCCCAACACAGCCAGGATGTATATCAGCCCCATGCCAGGAACTTGACCGTGCAGCTACCACTTCAGAATTGCTCCAGTGAAACCACTTCCGTTCCCTTCCCTTTCACATTGCATCACTGTCAGAGCAGGATAGAAGTGCACTTAGTGGGCTGGATCTTGGGCTCACATGTCCATGGTCTAGCTGCAAGGGAAGCTGGGAGGGAAGGCAACCGTTACTTTCCGTACCTATAGGAGTAGACAGGCTTTGCCTACTACCTACTTCAGCAGACATCGAGACTACACGCAACAGGTACAGAGAAATAAGGAGGCAACAATGAATGGCCCCTGTCTTCCAGAACAGTGCTTTCATGTTTATGTGTGGGGAATGTCCAAGTAGGAAATGGGCATCTGCATGGAAGAACTTCCCCCCTGGGGCCTCACTGCCATTGAAAACTACTGTGTTAACATTTTATTTTAGTGGGTTTTGGGTTTGTTCGGGTTTTTTTTATAGTAGGGTGGCGTCCCTTTCCTCAAACGCAGCCTCCCTTGGAATCTGAGATAGCCGGGCTCTACTAACCCCACTTGAACGAGGAGAAGTCCACAACTGAAGCGTGGCTCTCTCCCTGAGCTCTCCCTTTAGCAGGGAGCTTCATGGCAGTCCTGGTTATCCCACAGAATTCCAAGGTGTCAAAAACGGAATCCGGAAGTGGCAGACATCAGAAGAAAATGACTTCCAAGGTAAATCCCTTTTTCTTTCTATTCTCCTTGCGAGCTCTCTAACTCAATACATTGCAAAGTAAATGGAGAGGTTGGCTTTCATTTTATTCGGCCTTCAGACGCTGAGCAAAAAGTGGCTACTTGTGACTCAAGCCAGGCTACTGGGACCATTGGGAACCTGCTCTCCTAGAAGCTGTAGCTGAGGAACAATGCTATGAACTTGAGCACACCTGCTTGTCTGTTGGCCGAGTTATAGGTGAAGACTGGCAAGGGAGGACTTAGCCTTCCCTTGGGGTGGTGAGGTTTGAGTATGATCCCCCAGGAAGCAGAGTTTACTTGATCATCAAAAGCTATCCATTCTTTTGAAGTATTTTCCAGAGAGGACAGTCATGACTCTGTGTCCTGTCTAGAGACACCAGGTAAAGGTTCTGTAGAACCTTGCTGGCCTAATGCCCAGCAAATAAAAAGGAACAGACTTCCAAATCCACTTCCCTCTGGTGCCAGGGCATCTTGTTTTCCCCCCGTAGCCTCAGGATCTTTCAGAAATCTATGGATGCAGCTGGCTGGCTATCAAGGATTTCTCCCCACCCCTGTATCCCTTGTAAACTCATTAGTTTATGGACAAATATTGCTGGCAACGCACATAACAGGCACTAGAGAATTCTAATGGGAATCAGACCCTCCACCCAGAATGCTACTAGGGAATTCCATCAGACCCATCGTATGAGCCCTGGAATCAGATGACTGGCTCTCTGAAGCCCAGTCACGCAGCCTTCTACAGATGAGGAAATGGGACTAGAACTGAACAAGACCCAGCAACGATGCCATCCTTTTCACGGTGACAAATTTTCTAGAAGTGAATTCATTCCCTCAACCAATCTTTTTAGTGTTTACCATCTGCCAGGCTCAATGTTTGGGGATGAAACAGTGAAGATGCCCGTCTTCATGGACATGTGTTAACGATGGTAACATCGTAATACCGTTCACAGGCATAGAGTCTCAAAATCCTGGCAGGCTTTCTTGCTCATGGGTAGGAGTCATCTTCAAGACTCTCCTTCCATCCTGCCAGGGTGCATCTTGGCTAGGAGGCTTGCATCAGTACAATGGCCCCTTGCTACTATAGTAATCAGCTGATAACCAGCTCTAGCCCTAATGAAGCCGATACCTGAGCCAGATAAACTATGCTGTAGGTTAGTGAGGATTGTAATAAGAATCAGACCTCCAAAAACCTGTCAGCCACAGAAATAACCATGAAAGTCCACACGCTAAATCAGTATGTGAGTGGGTAAAGAGGAAAAAGGCCAGATATGGGCGCGTGCGCGCGTGCGCGCACACACACACACACACACACACACACACACACAAAGTTACATTATTCTTGTTCACTGTAGCTCTTTCTTACCTTGTCTGAGATGTCTGACATTCATCTGAAGTCTTCTCAGAAAAGGATCAAAAACAGGCTGAGTTCATCCTGTTTTGATCATCTTCTAGGTTCCTGATTGGGAAGGAGGAAAGGAGGAGGGGACTTTAGTAGAAAGAAGTAACAAAACACAAATTAGTGTAGGAATGGTCATGAGACAATCATGAGAGTCTTGTGGTATACGGGACATGGGCATTGGTGCAACCTGTCTGTCCACAGACAAGTGATTAAAGTCGTTCCTTGGGTAGGGTGGGAGGGAACCCACCCTGAGAACTAAGAGCTTAGGGCAAATGCGGGGCTGGAGGGCCACCCTGGAGAGCTCCTGAATCCAGAAAAGATGACAGGTTTACCACTCCACCAATATGCATAGTTAAGTGAAACATTTCCTTTTTAAATGGCATTTTTCCATGCATGCATACATGAAAAGTATAGCTTCTTTCTGTGTTTTCAGAGACCAAGAATCAGAGCGCCATACCCGCCTTGTTGGTGTACCAAGTCCTAGTAACCAGCAGAAGGCAAGCTGATAGCTAGTGCTGGTAGAACGTGTATAAATGTGGTTAGACAGGGGCCACATTTTCCACCCCGTTGCTGTTTTGTATGCTCCTTGGGCTTGGGTGCTGGCAAGGACAGGGAGGTGGGGGGGGGAGTGGGGGGAGATCCTGGAACACTCAAAAGTTTTGGGAGACAGCAGGTGCTTGGGCAGAGCCACCCACCCCTTCCCTCCCCTATAAGCTTGCCCGGCAACGGGCTTCCCTTGCTTGTGATTGGCTGCTATCCTGGATCTTGCCCCAAGTCTGCCTAGCAGCACCGGTGACTGTGCCCTTACAGCGACAGGGAAACCAATTGTGCGGCCCTGACTATAAATACCCCCACCAACAGCTATACCAGCCAATCACCCTCCTCGAGGATTCCCTTCCCCAGATCCTATTTCCTCCCGGAGATGCGGCCAGCTGTGCCCGCAGGAAGAAACCTCCTTGCTCTCCTCTCCTGAGGTTGGCCTGGGGCTCCATCCTAGCATGCCACATCACCCTGAACTGGCCAGCTAAGACCTGGAGGCTTGGGGTAGGGGTGGGGGAGGAAGCCTGTTTAGAGGAGAAGGCTGAATGAAGCAGATGGGCTTCTCCTAGTGTAAGGCCTTGTCGGGTGATTGGCAAGTTTATCCCAGGCTCCGTGTTCCCTGCCGGCCCCCTGGACTGGCTTCTGCTTTACTCGGTTAGGGTCTGATCACATGATCGAGGGGCGGGCCCCATCCGATTAGCTGCACAGGCAGAGTTGTATGAACGGAATCTGTTCAGGGAGAGCATCCCAAGGGTTGGGGCGCTGTGGTCCTGCTGGTCGCTTCCAGTCCTGGGCCTATTGTAGGACAGTAGGAGATGGAGGCCAGGTTTGCATTGGTGGCAAAACCTCCTTCTGCCATAATTTTGGCCCTCCTCCTAGTCACCAGCTTCCCCCGCTGCACCTCCTACCCCTCTGAGTAAGGACAACTTCGGGAAGACCAGGGCCACAACCACAGCAACAGCTGTAAGAGAAGGATAAAGGTGATGTCGTCCTTCTCAGAGAATGTGAAAGGAAGCACACAGAGACTGGCGTATTCCTAGAAGGTGGAAAGAATCTGCCTATAATAGACGCCCTAGCCAAGCACCGATGGCTCACACCTGTCATCCTAGCTACTCAGGAGGCTGAGATCTGGTGATTCAAAGCCAGCCTGGGCAGGAAAGTCCGTGAGACTCTGATCTCCAATAAGCCACTCAGAAAACTGGAAGTGGCGCTGTGGCTCAAGTGGTAGAGCACTCGCCTTGAGCTGAAGAGCTCAGGGACAGCGCCCAGGCCCAGAGTTCAAGCCCCACGACCGACCAAAATAAAAAATAGATGTCCTATAGTGTTTGGACAACTAAACCAATCTGCCCTTTCATCTCAGTGCCAAGGATAGAGCAGGGGGGCAGGCTTCTGTGCTGTTCTTCTCTGAGGGCGGGGTCAAGAGCCCGAGCTAGGGGCCAGGGAACTTGGGTTTCCATTTCCACCTCAAAGAAAGGTGGAAAGAATCCGAGAGACATCCATTTGTGAGGAGAGGTTTGGGAAACTCTACCTGGGGCTGTGAAGTTGGGAGTGACAAGCTTCATAGACCATTAGGGGTGTCATCGGCCTGCATTGGCTCATGCTGAGCAGTGGAAGGGGTCCCTGGGGCCTTGACCTCTTCATGCGGGTGTCCAACTACAGGTCCATGGTTTGTAGGTGTGCACACCGTGGAGATACATTCCTGACTGGGCCCACGTGAGGTCCAGGCCGCGTGGATGGGGCCCAGTTCTTACCAGCTTGCCTTTCTTGCACAATAATGTACAGCTTCCCCGCTCTGCCAGGGGAAAATTCCACCATGGAACCCAGTGGTCACCGCAGTCTTCCCTGTCTTCCTTAAATAGAAAGCCTGGCGGAGAAGCAGCACCCTCAGCAGCCACAGGTCATCACCGCCTATGACAACCAAGGTAAGGGAATCCCTGGCTGCTTGTGGTGCATTTCCCTGTAGCTTTGCTCCTGGGAGCTGTCGCCCCAGCCGGAGACAGTCTGGGATATGAAGCTTGGTTTGTAGGGATCATTCAGATCGTCTCTCTGCCCCATGGAGATGGGAGCATCTGTGTCCTCCCCTTGAGCTCCAGAGGGGAAAAAAAACACTGAGAGACTGTTTGCTTCAAGTCTTGCCCTTCACCTGGGATCAAGATATTTAAAAAATAATAATAAATCCCAAGCCGGGCGCGGCTGGCTCACACCTGTTATCCTAGCTACTCAGGAGGCTGAGATCTGAGGATCACAGTTCAAAGCCAGCCTGAGCAGGAAAGGCTGTGAGACTCTGATCTCAAGAAAACGAGAAGTGGTGCTGTGGCTCAAATTGTAGAGCGCTCGTCTTCAGCTGAAGAGCACAGGGACAGTGCCCAGGCCCAGAGTTCAAGCCCCACAACCAACCAAAAAAAAAAAAAAAAAATCCCGAAGCCACAGAATTTCATCATCACCATCACCTTATCATCACCACAGTTAGGATTTATGGAGTACTGATTCTGCGTTCTGTCAGCTTCACGGTTAACATCATTTGACAGGGGCTCTTACTGACTTCCTTTGTACAAAGGGAGAAACTGAGGCTGGAAAGGGCTGTCCGAGTATCCGAAAATCACATGATCAGCAAGGGTTAGAGCCCTAAAAGCCTTTGTCCTTCTCTCTCCCAGTAAGCTCTCAGGCTGTTAACCTTCACGTGGCTCCTGGGTCAACTTCCTCTGCAGCTCCCCTAGAATCTGCCCTCCCCCTGCCTGCTCACGTTTCCTGGCCCACCAGCCCTCCCTCCCTCCCTCTCTCCCTCCTGAGTCTCAGTGTTTCCTTGGCCTATCTGAGACTGAGAATTCTGGGGGCAGGTGCAGGGGGAGGGGGGGGCGGCGGTGGAGAGGGACATTCCATGTAATGCTGAGCTTGCTGCCATGAGAATCTTCATTTTCTCAAGACAGGCTCTGGGGGCTTAAGAATGGCAGACAAGAGCATCCCCGAGCTGTCTGTACAGTTGACCAGATCAGAGCACATGAGAGGGCAGACCAGAGGGTAAGGCCTGGTGAGAAGCTCCCATGCCCACTGTGGTTAATAATCACTCTTATTGGAGACCCAGAGGGCCTGACATCAAAGACCTCTTATAGGCTCAGTCCTAAGATTCGGGCATGAGTAAGACTGATGTATTTACCCTGCACAGAAATGAAGTGATTGCATCTAGGGACAAGGGGCAGCTCACTCCACCTGAAGCAGGTTATGTGAGATTTGGAACCCTCTCAGGGAAATTGCTCTGTGAAGCGTGGGCCGGCCCAGCCTCTCTGCAGAAAGGCACTGTCAGGTAATAAGAAAGGGAAAGCCAACGTGGGTCACTGGTACAAGGGGCCAGCTATTTGCAGTCTGTCTCAGTATCTCTTTTGGCTGGCAACTCTAGGACAAGCCTCTAGAGCCTGCTTCGTGGGTCCCCCAAGATCTACCAGGACAGATATTAATACCAGTGCAAGCCAAGGCCGCACTGAAATGGACTTATCTCACATCGCCCACCACAAAGCAAAACTCAAGAAATATTCTATTAGAAAGAGAGTAGATGAGCTGGAGAGGTGGCTCAGTGGTAGAATGCTTGCCTAGCAGGCATGAAGCCCGGGATTCGATTCCTCAGTACCACATACACAGAAAAAGCTGGAAGTGGTGCTGTGGCTTAAGTGGTAGAGCGCTAGTCTTGAGTACAGAGAGGCTCAGGGACAGTGCCTAAGCCCTGAGTTCAAGCCCCAGGACTGGCAAAAGAAAAGAAAAAGAAAGAAAAAGAATGTGTGAACAATACTTACCTCACTTGTGAAACGAGACACATCCTGGTAAGGGAAGATGGATAATCCTAACAAATAAAACAGTGATTCTGGTAACCCTAAAGGAGAAAATAAAGAGTTCAAGATGATGGGGACAGGGGAGACTGGGGTATATCCATTTCCTGGAGATGCTATAGCCAATTCCCACAAACTTGGTAGCTTAAGGTAACACACACACACACACACACACACACACACACACACACAATGGTTTTGTCATTTCTGGAAGTGATTCCTCTGAAGTTGGCTCAAGTCACACTGTCAGCTGGGCACTATTGGAAGAAGGTCTATGGGAGAATCCATTCCTTGCTTCTACATTCTGCTTCTGCAGGCTGCCAGCATTCCTTGGCTTGTGGCTGTGTCACTCCAGTTTCGGAGTCCATTATCACATTGCCTTCTCTCCTTATAAATAACCAAATCTCTCCCCGTCTCCCTCTTATAAGGCTGTACATGGTTGCATTTAGGGGCCAATCAGATAATGCAGGATAATCTCTCGGTCCTAAGAGACTTAATTTAATCACATATACAAAATCTTCCAGGTCAGAGAAGGTAATGCTCTCAGGTTTCCAGAAATTCTGGCATGGATATCTTTAGAGGTTGGTGCTCACAGTCTATTACAAGCGACAATTTAAAACAGAGCAGGTGGAGCTTGGGACAGAACTCAGGGGTAGAACACTCATATATGGAACCCTGTGTTTGATCCCAGTACCGACATAGAGAGAAAGAGACAGAGACAGAAAGAGAAGGCAGTTTTCTGGTGCCTCCAGGTCATCAATCCTTACCCCTATGTAAGGGGTCTGCTCGTGGGCAGAGTGGCTTTCTTTTTTGTTGCTGTTGTTGGTCATGGGGCTTGAACTCTGGGTTTGGGCACTGTCCCTGAGCTCTTCAGTTCAAAGCGAGTGTTCTACCACTTGAGCCACAGCACCACTTCCAGTTTTCTGGGTGGTTTATTGGAGATAAGAGGCTTGTGGACTTTCCTGCTCCGGCTGGCTTTAAACCATGATCCTCAGATCTCAGCCTGTGAGCCACAGGCACCTGGCTAGAGAGGCCTATTTATGATCACATGATTCCAGACCTGGGACTTCCCAGAGACCTCCATCCTACCCAAGGGGTCCTGCATAGGGCTGTGTTTTCAGGAGCTCACTGGAAGCTAAGGAGCAGCCAGGGCTGCAAAAGACCCCTTCATTACACAGTGGGCTCAGATTTAAGTTATAGAGCACTAAACGACCATCTCATAACCAGAGATGTTGAACAGGGCTTTTGTACTGCATTTGGTAGCACCCAGTGAGGTTGGTGCTCCAATAATGGTGTAGAGAGCTAGATAGTCCCATTACCTGCTAGCATGCTTGCCCCTGGATTGTCCTAGCTCACCACTGCCCAATTACAGCCTCCTGGGGCAGAAAAACAGCACAACTGTGGTGAATACCTTAACCAAGGCCTTGTCAACATTACAAATGCTTTTAACTAAGACCTCCTGACCCCAAGCTGCTGCAGAAAAATATTTCTGATTCTGCTTTGGAAATAATTAACAATACAGCAATAATCAAACGTGGTACCCTGCTAATAGAGAGTTAATGAACGCCTTACATTCATGTTGGCAAGTATCTAGCACAAATCCCAGGGCTCCCACCCCCACCCACCCCCACACACATACACATTCATGTCCACATGTATGCCTGATGGTATTTGTTAATTGACCAGTGCTCTGGGCAGCCACTTTCAATCAGTCAGATTTAATGAACAACCCAAAACCTGATTGCCCTCCGTGAATTAGGTATTCTGAGGAAAATTAAGCCGTTAGACAAATCCTGATTGAAGCCTGAAGCAGTTTAGAAAGTCTCAGGTGGGAGAAATCTCCACCGTGGGTAGAAGGCAGCCCCCTCATAGACTGTGCACAAGGTGGCCTGTGCACATTTCCACTCTGAAAGGGTAGGGGACAGGCAGGTGAGCCTGTAGTAGGCTCACAGACTTTCCTACCTGGGCTGGCTTTGAACCGTGATCCTCAGATCTCAGCCTCCTGAGTAGCTAGGATGACAGACGTGAGCCACTGGTGCCTGGCTAGAGAGGCTTATTTATGATCACACATGTATTAGGGTCAAACTGCCATGATTTCAGACCTGGGACATCCCAGAGACCTCCAGCCTACCCAAGGGGTCCTGCATAGAGCTGTGTTTTCAAGCGCTCACTGGAAGCTAAGGGGTAGCCAAGGCTGCAAAGGACCCTTTCCTTACACAGCGGGCGCCCGGACAGGCTCAGACTTAAGTGATAGGGCCCCTTCACAGGATGAGAGAGAAATACTCTCTAAAATACCTTTACTAAGCCAGCCTGAGCTGTAGTTGCAGAAGTGTTATTGGAGTGAGGATGTAGGTCAGGAGAGGCCCACCAGGAACCTAAAGTCCCAACCAGGGTCTCCTTTACATTTGGTTGTGATTGTTTACAGTCACTGTCAAGTGTTGTGATCATCTAATTACACTTAGCGTTTAGACCCAACTGTGAATCTTGCTCCAAATGGTGCCTATGATCAGAGACCGGTCGTATTAGCATTTTTCTTCTTACATTCGGAGTCTTACTTGTATTGAGTATTAAGAGTCCCCATCCCCTCTCCTCCAAGTCCCACCTTGAGGATGCATGAAACTAGCCAGTGCCGTTCACCTTGAGACGGGTTAACCGGGCCAAGGACATTCTAGAAGTGAGAGAAGCCTCTAGAAGCTCTGATCAAAGAGCAGGACTCCACGGAGAACCCTACAGTGTCCTTGAGGCAGAGCTAGGCAGCAGCTCAGCTGTGAGAAGAGCCAGGAGGAGCCTGTCAGCTGGGCATCAGCCCTGTCCCCAGAGGACGGGGTGCTGCGGGCAGGAGAGAAGGGATTGGATATTGCAGATGGGAGGAGGAGCTTGTGGAATGGGGGACCAGGTTCTGAATGAGTGGCTCTCATGTGGGTCCTGAGCTATAGAAGGGCTCCCTTGAACTCCCTTACCTTCAGACCTACTTTCTGATCTACTAGCCAAACAAACAAAAATAAAATCTAGGTCTTTCATTTCTCTCTCTCTCTCTGTCATGTTCTTCCTATAACTATGTCTGCAATTGGGGGGGGGGGAGAATCGGCAAAAATACTTTATTTTTAATAAGTATTGGCATCTTATTCTTGGCCCCATGCATCTCTGATACAAGAGAGCATTAGGCCAGGCACTGGTGGTTCACACCTGTCATCCTAGCTACTCAGGAGGCTGAGATCTGAGGATTGAGGTTCAAATCCAGTTGGGGCAAGGAAAGTCCGTAAGACTCTTATCTCCCATGAGCCACCGCTGTGGCTCAAGTGGTAGAGCGCTCACCTTGAGCTGAAGAGCTAAGGGGCAGTACCCAGAGTTCAATCTTCATGACCAACCAAAAGAGAGAGAGAGAGAAAGGTGGAGAGTGCTTTTGTCCATCTTTGCCCAGATCCAGAAGGTGCTTGGCTTGTTGTCTGTGGAGTTCTGAAAAACAAAACAAAACAATAACAACAACAAGAAAATGACTTGTATATTCAAAAGAGTGCTCTAGCCAGACAGAGTAGATCATCCCTGTAATTCCCAGATTTGTGGGAAATGCAGGTTTGAGGACCCTCATTCCAAAGTCTACCCCGGGGTGGGGGAGAAAGCATGAGACCCTATCTGAAAAATAAATCAATAAACAAACAAAAAGGGGCTAGAGGTGTGCGCTAAGTGGTAGAGCGCTTAACCTCACAAGTACAAAGCCCTGGGTGAGTTCAAACCTCTGTACCACCAAAAAAGAAAAAAAAAAAGCACTGAAGTACATTGTGTTCTGTTATTTGAATACCTGACATGAGCTAATGAGCATGTCTTGGCTTCATCTGACTGAGAATATCGCCCTTCTCTCCAGGGACGCAGCTCACGGTGGAAGTCCACCCCTGTGACGCCATGCCCCAGCTCCTCAAGAAGTTTTCTTTGGCCAAACGTACGTACGTACAGGGCTGCTCATCCTATGGGGCTTTAGCAGGGAGGGTGGAGGGTAGCAGGATGGGGTCAGACCCTAGCCTAAGCACCTTCTGATGGATAGGGAGGAGTGGTCTTGGGGGAGAGGGGGAATCAGGGGAAAAGGGGTCTGTGGACTCAGACAAAAGCAGAGAAGTGTAACTACTTCATGCCTACCAGCTTCCTCTGTTCTTGCATCTCTTGGGATTGGGCCTGGGACGTGACACAGGGCGTGTGTAGCTGAATGTGCATTTCATTGTTGTTGGTGCATCTTGCTGAACTGCCAAGAACCTAGCACTTAACACTCATTAACCTTATGCCCTTTTAACATATACAATAGTATCCCCATGTTTTTGTGTGTGTTTTTTTTTTCAGAGAAGCCACGCAAGGCTCGGAAAGGTGATCTAACTGCCCAAGTTTTACCCAGCCGGGAGATGAGTCGGAACCTAGGTTCGACTCTGAAGCTGTATTTAGCTGGTCTCAGTGCATGTGTACAGAAAAGGACCGCCATGCCCCCTCCACCTCCCTTCTTCATCTCCTTGTAGGTGCTCATCTCTTGGCCCCAGGAGGACCACAGGCCAAGGAAGGGAGGCTGCAGAGTCCCTATCATGTCCACTCCATGTGCTAAAGTCCTCTAAGACTGTCTGTCAGCTGTTAGGATCTCAGGAGGGCAAACCAATGTGGCTCTGGGGAAGGAAGGAAGGAAGGAAGGAAGGAAGGAAGGAAGGAAGGAAGGAAAGAAGGAAGGAAGGAAGGAAAGAAGGGAGGGAGGGAGGGAGGGAGGAAGGGAGGGAGGGAGGAGAAGAAAGGGAGGCAGGGAGGAAGGGAGGAGAAGAAAGGGAGGCAGGGAGGAAGGGAGGAGAAGAAAGGGAGGCAGGGAGGGAGGGAAAGAAGGAAGGAAGGAAGGAAGGAAAAGGGAAAGGAAATGAAAGGAAAGGAAGGGAGGGAGGAAAACAATAGTAGAAATGAAACCCAAGCCAGAAATAGTTCACAAGAAACACTAGCTCTGGTATTTATCAAGGAAACCCCATTTTTCCATCAGATGGTAGATATGAAATCACACACAAATGTGAGAAACAATGGAACAGCTGCTCCTGAGAATGGCCTGTGTATGTCTGCAACCTTCCACTGTTTTATTTAACAGCTTAAAGTGGCTTTTAGGGGCATCTGCTCACTTTGGCATTCCCACCCACCAACTCCGCTCATTTCATTCGAGACCAACCTGACCTGCTTTCAAGAAAAGTTCCTTTATGTGCTGTGTGTGTGTGTGTGCATGGAATCTAATATCCATTGACCATTTTGCCTTCACCATCCTGAATTCACAAGAGTTCACTTGCCCTTTGACAACGTCTTAAGCCTTCTGAGTTTCCCAAGGGCTGAACAGACTGCCTTCTCCTCCTCTAGTTTTACTTTGACCCACCATTGGTCTAGTCCTGGGGTTATCTGGAGGGAACTGGTTCATGCTAGCATCCTCGGCCGTGTTCCAAGATGGGCACAAGGATGCGGCCAAGAGTTGAGTCCCAGGCTCCTTGTATAATTCCAAGTGTTAAGGTCAAAGAATATTTCTATCTCTACTCCCTTTTCCATCATTCATCCACTCCTGCTTTCCAGTCTCTTCCCGGCCTCACCAGGAAGTTCACGGCAAATTCTAGCACCACTTCTAGGGTAGGAGAGGATGGGTGTAGGAAGCTATGAGAAAAAAAAAATGATTGAACAGGAGGAGACATCAGAAGCCAGCATTGCCACCAAGAGAATCATCCGTGTTTGTATTTCTGTTTCTTCTGCACCGTTGGCATGTTATAGGTTTGCAAGGTGACAAAAATGGAAACACCCGACCCCGGCAGCCTGGAGGAAAAGATGCCCATGGTAAGTTTCGGGTCTTCTTGTCTAGGGCCAGTTCCCAAGAACACACAACTGAGTTGGCTTCATGAGCCAGTTTCCAGACGATCAGCAATGGCTTCCTGGGACACTGGGAGTGTGGGGCCACCTATGGTTTTGGAGGGAGGAGCATCATGATTGATTAACAATGTCTGCATGGACATGTTCATAGGAGAAGGTGTCAGAAGTCATCCCTTCCGATCACAAAGCAGCCGGTTATAGGAAACATCAAGACAGTTCAGGATGATGTGAGTGTTAGTGGAGCACTAAATGTCTGCAAGGTAGCAGGGCAGAGGAAGAAACATGGAATAGAATGATAGACAACTTGGGTGGGTTTTTTTTTGAGGTGGGGGACCTCATTTATCTTGCCTCAATTCTCCTCCCACCCTTGATACACTACCAGGTATCATCTGGGGCTTGGAGTAGCTCAGTACTTCTTCCTATTGTTGCATTTGAAAATTAGAATAATTTAGTTAATGCTACTGGGTGTTTTAAATGTATTTATGCAAAAAAAAATCCTATTTGTACCTTATAGGACCTGCTCAGGAAGTAGATTTAATAAAGCATAAACCATTGTGGGTGTTTCGATATTAAAAATGTTAACCATTGTAAAATGGAATCAAGAACGGAAAAAGGTAGTAAAATACGGTTTACAGCCCATTTTAGGAATGCCATACTTCTTCTAAATTGGAGCCAGGGGAGAGGAACATGGAGTGGAAACCTGCTCTGTATAAATCCACATCAAATCTACTTCGATCGCCTGTTGACTCCTTTTAGGCAGCAGCAGGACCCTAGAATCTCTGGAGGAAAAGGGCACTGAGAAATGTCTGGGTAGAAGCCAGGTGCTGGTGGCTCATGCCTGTCATCCCAGCTACTCAGAGGCTGAGATCTGAGGATCATGGTTCAAAGCCAGCCTGGGCAGGAAAGTCCATGAGACTCTTATCTCCAATAAATCACCAGAAGTGGCGCTGTGGCTCAAGTGGTAGAGAGCTTGCCTTGAGCTGAAGAGCTGAGGACAGTGCCCAGGCTTGCCCCCCACCCCCCGCAAAAAAATGGGTAGGAGTCTTCCCGAGGTATGCCCCATTCTGAAAGGGGCTAGCCGGAGGACGGCTGACACAGGACACACAAACTGGGGGGGAAGCGGGGATGATGATTCTCAGGCCTGGTACCCACCCAGAAAGAAATATGGGCTGCAAATCCAGAGGGTTGAAGGAGAATCAGGATGGTGCTAGCCCCGTGAGCTTTCTAGATCCACCTCTCAGCACTGCCTGGGACTCTCCTTGTGACAACATCAGTTTTTGAGGTTTCTTTCTTCCTGCATCTCTGTCCCTGCCAACCTCCCCCCTGCCACACAGACACACACAGACACACACACACACACACACACATACACACACACAACCAGACTCCCGGCAGGAGGCTTCTTAAGAGAAAGGCTGGGTAAGATGAGTCATTTTGAGGCTCAGCCTCCTTTAGAGGCTTGTTCCTAGCACCTCAAGCACCCTTGAGGCCACCACAGTTTGGCTTTCTTAGGGTGTCCCAGATAGCCATGGACAAGAGAGTGACCCCAAGGGATGCCAAATACACCTCCCTCTGTAAGATCCAGACAGCTATCCCGTAACGCCTTGCACACACACACACCCTCCCCCCAGCACATGGCCAAGGCCTGGAGTCTGTCAAGGGCTAGTGGTACTGCCTTAAGTGCTTCCCAGAGGAAGCCACGGAAAACTACATTGTGGGATACAAAGGCGTTCAATCACCAGTATGTCTGGGTTTGACCGAGGTTAAGCCAGTGGCTGGCATCTCTGGGTCTACACATAGGCTTGTGTTTCCTGTGCATCTCCAAGAGTTCCCAAACTACTTTGACTAGGGAAACCAGCTAGGAGACTACAGTTCCTGGGGCTAGAATTTCCAGCTGTGGGACTTGTGTTAAAGGCCAGGCCGTTGCAATTAAAGAAGGGAACCTGGGCACCGTAACCTCTCCACGGAGGGTCCCAACTGCTGACTGAGCTTTCCTGTGTTTCTAGCCTATCCTTGGGACAAGTCCAGTCTCAAATCCATGCCTCTCGACCTCAGGAAGTTTGAAAAACTGGACACCTATGCCTCACAGGTAGGAGAGCAGGCCCTCTAGCCAAAAGCCCATAAAGGTCCCCCAAATCAAAGCAGCCAAGCCTCCTGAATATCCTGAGTTTCCCGGATTGATGACTCTGGATGGACTGGACGGGAAGCAGGCAGCAGATCCCTGTCCAAAGCCAATGGACACCCCATCCATTGGCCATCTGTGTATCTCCTTTGGAAAAGTGTCTATATATAAGTATGTACATAGAGCAGGGCACCGGTGGCTCACGCCTGTCATCCTAGCTACTCAGGAGGCTGAGATGTGAGGATTACGGTTCAAAGCCAGCCTGGGCAGGAAAGTCTGTTAAGACTTATCTCTAACTAACTACCAGTGGAGTTGTGGCTCAAAAGCTCAGGGATAGTACCCAGGCCCTGAGTTCAATCCCTACAACTAACAATAAATAAGCAGATAAATATGTAAATCTATTCTTTACATATTCTGAATATTAAGCCCTTATCAGGTATGCAATTTGTGTTGTTTTCTCTTAATAATACCTTTTAACGTTCAGATCTTTTTTGTTTCAATAAATTCGTTTACTTATTTTTCCTTTTGTTGGTGATTTTAGGATCCTATCTAGGGATCCATGGCCAAACAATGATTGGCTCCAGTACTTCTAAAAATTATATGGCTTAATCTCTTATATTTGAATCACTGATCCACTTTTCCCCTTTATTTTTGTATACTATGCAATGCAAATATCCAATGTCATTCTTTTGCACATGGAAATACAATTCTTCCAGCCAGGACCATTTGTGATTTTTGTTTGATCAAAATTCAAATGGCTATAGAAGTATATGGGCTTCTCTCTATAAATTCTCAGTTCTATTCGGTGGGTCTATAAGAGTCTATGCTGATACAAAACATTTGCCTTACAGTAAGTTTTGACATTGGGAAGTCCCAGCGGGAGAACCTCATTTTCTCTTTAAAAAAAAAAAATTGCTTGTGATCCACACTCAGCCAGCCCGTCCCTCCGCGCCTCCTCTCCCAGCTTCTTTACCTGGAGGAAGAGCAGCACTGGCTGTGAGGGAATAGAGCCAGGCACCCCCCCCACGGCCCTCTTCCCGGCCCTGAAGCAGCACACCCTTCCTGCTCCCCAGGTGACGGTCAAGAGTAGCCTGGATGAGCTGGTGTGTGACCTGCTTCAGGAAGCGCACAGCGATCTAGAAAGAGTCCGCGCCATTTGGATATGGATCTGCTACCACATAGGTATGCTCACTTTGTGGTGTGTGTGTGTGTGTGTGTGTGTATGTGTGTGTGTGTGCACGTGCATGCGTGTGCCATTACCAGAGCTTAAACTCAGGGACCTCAAAATGGCTTGCTTCACTTGTTTATGGTTGGGGTTCTACCACTTGAGCCAGGCCTTCAGTCCAGCATTTTGTTGGTTAACTGGAGATCAAGTGTCTCAGATTCTTTTTTTTTTTTTTTTTGTCGGTCGTGGGGCTTGAACTCTGGGCCTGGGCGCTGTCCCTCAGCTCTCCAGCTCAAGGCGAGCGCTCTACCATTTGAGCTACAGCGCCACTTCCGGTTTTCTGGTGGTTTATTGGAGATAGGAGTCTCACGGTCTTTCCTGCCCGGGCTGGCTTTGAACCGCAATCCTCAGATCTCAGCCTCCTGAGTAGCTAGGATTACAGGCGTGAGCCACCAGCGCCCGGCAATGTGTCTCAGATTCTTCTACCGAGGCTGGACGGAGCCACGGCAGGGCCCTGTTTCCTCAGGACCCCTCCCTTTTTTGCTCTCCCCCTCCCCCAGAGTATGACATTGAGGCTGCTCAGGAGAAGAATCGCCGAGCCTTCAAACCTACGAGCATCCTGAAGACCAAGAAGACCAATTGTGATGGCTACGCTGGTCTCTTTGAAAGAATGTGCAGGTATGACAGGCAAGGGGGTGCTGCTGACCGGACCCCGTCCCTCTTCCCTGCTTCCTGTGCACGGGATAGCTTCCTCCCATGCCTGGCCCGAAACCTGAATTTGCAAACTCTGCTCTGAAATCCAAGGGAGTCCCGCAAAGGTCAATTTCTCCCTTTCAGCACCAGCGTAATTGACCCTGTACCATCTGCTGGACTTCGTGATGCATTAACATAATGGCAGACGAACGCACAGCAATAATTTAGTTATAAAAGCCCCTTTTTTCCGCCTTCTCCCATCTCCGTGCAGCTGAAGGTTAAATGAATGGCAGGTCGGGGAACAAAAGGACAGTAGCTGCTCACACCGAGAGGGCTGTGAAAATCCTTTGGGAAGGTGCAGATGTCTTACCTGGGGAAATTAAAGTATCTACTCGGAAAAACCTGTCAGTCAGAAGCCGGGTAGTCAGGGAGAAACGTCTGTCTGTCTGTCTTCAGGGCATATATGTGGCCAGGTTGGTAGCTTGACTGAAGAATGAACAGAGAGAGGGAGAGAGGGAGAGAGAGAGAGAATAATTTGGTGGCTCAGTGGTAGAGTGCTTGCCTTGCACACATGAGGTCCCTGAGTCTTACTGGTTTCTTCATCTTCAAGTCTCTCCTCTTCCACCTCCCCTAGGAGTACCCATGTCTCCCATCTATACACAGTAGGCCCTCAATGGCTAGAGAGTTAGAATGGATCGTTATAATGGGTCGTTCTGCAAGGCTAATGGATAGTTATAAAGTGACAGGAAAGGACAGGGGCATTCCTAGGCAGATTAGGGTGTTCTCTTTTAAATAACTGAAGAACCACATGTGTTTAGCATCTATCAGAGAGGATGGTTTTCATCTCAGTTTGCAAATGTGAAAATGTTCTAGATTTATGTTTATCCAGGGTCCTCTTTCTAGCGTGCCATAGGAGTGCGAGATATAAAGCCAGAAAGACTTGGGTTTCCGTCTATCAGCGATCACTTATCTGTTGGGCTCCTTTTGATAAGAGGTTGAATTTTACAGTCTCTGTTTCCTCATCTGTATACGGGGGAACCCTATCACCTCGTTAGCAAGACAGGACTGGGTAGGAACATGTCATCTGAGGTTTTCCACCTGACTCTGGAGTTCTTGAATTTTCATTTTAAAAAATAATAATAAAAATAAAAACCTTCCCTGTCTATTTTTTTTTTTTTTGGATATTGGGAGTATTTTTGCTCTATGGAAATTTCCTCCAGGCTGGGCTGGCCCACATAGACTCAGGAAATTGACACCTGCCTTGAGTGAAACTGTCATCTTGGTTGCCTGGTCCAGATTCTTAACAAGGGCCATATTCTGGCCTGCAGCTGTTCATTAAAATACAGCTCGGCGCTCTGCATCGCCGAAAGTTTAGCTCCATCCTCACGGTTACCATGAGCAAGATTCCTCCCCCTGCCTTAAATGTTAAGGATCAGTAACCTACACATGCATCACCTCCCTAATCTTTACCCCCTAACATATAACTGCCAGAGGTCTGGTGGATTCATTAGTTCATCCCTTCATCACGGAAGCCAATGCAATTTCCAATTGCTGATTTACCCCTGCAGGGCTGTCAGGGAAGAGCTGTTCCCGTGCAGCCATTTTGACTTCCCGCCAGGACATTCCATCTCCTTGCCACGGCCTCCTTAATGACTGATTTAACCACGTGACTTTGGTAGGGAACGTAGATGTTTCTTGATAGCATCATTCATCTTCTCGTGGTCTCTCCCCAGTTACCCATGTGTGGCATCTTTTGTTAGTGCTCTTGCAGGGGATGGCCGGTCTGGTTTCTTTCTGACTTTCTGTCATCAAACATGAATGTCCTCTCCTTGTGCCTTGGTTGCCTGTAGCCTTAATTGATTCTGTCTTATCTCCTGGCAGTTGGTCCAAATTACTTCTCCAGGCTTCTTGCCACTGATCCTACCTCCAGTAAATTCTCTTCTCCGGTTACCACGGCTTAGGTCCCACCAGGTAGCAGATTTCCCAGAGATTTGGGGGGTAACTAGAGGCTTTGAGGCTGAGTGAGCTGATTATCCCCAGTCAGATGACAATTGGGTTTTCATCCACCCACAGAGAGGCTGAGGTATTCACATGCAGACAGCTACTCTGGTCATCCCCCCAAAGTCTTACAACACCGCTTGATCCCAAATGCTCTAAAAGATAGGGAGTGACCATCTAAACCTTCCGTGAGATGCCAGTTCCCCAGAAGATAACTTTAAATGACTGCCAAATGTGACTTCTTCCTGTAAGGCCTCTGAGACACCTAAATTCCCCTTTCCCCATAGGGATGCACCGAGGGAAGAATCAAAGATAAATTATTGAGCCAGATGGCCGTGGTTCTTGCCTGCAATCCTAGCTACTCGGGAGGCTGAGATCTAGAGTATCACAGTTCAAGGCTAGCAGTTCAAGGCAGAATAGTCTAGGAGACTCTGTCTCCAAGATAACCAGCAAAAAGCCAAGCTGGAAGCATGGCTCAAGTGGTATAGTACCCACTGAATCTACAAGTAAAGCAAGTAAAAGGTCTTAAATTTAAACCTTGGTACCAAAAAACAAAAAAATAAGAATTATATTACTTTAACAGATCATCTTAATTTCACTCTATGTGACAACTCCGGATTTATAGAGTAGATCAAAAGCTTGCTTTACGAATGGCCTGGCCCAATAGAGCTGCTTCTTATCTGTGCCTCAGGATGACTGTATCCCAATTTTACCTGAGCTCCTAGCTCGCAGCGCAAGGTGACTTCCATCTCTGAACCAGCCCTCCCTTGCTAGAGAAGAGAGCACACTTCATGCCACTCCACGCAGCCCTTGGGGCGAGAATTACTATGGTGATTACAAGTTACTGACCAAGCCATGAGGAGTAATGGGAGAAGGGGGAGGGGGGAACGGTAACATTTAGCAGAAATGTACGCAAGCTGTCAGCTGTGCCGGAGAGCAAGTACACAAACCATGAAAGAGGAGCCACGGTTTATTATCCTGCTGCAGCACAGAAATCACTCTTTCAACAAGGTACCAAACGGAAAGCATGTCTCCTTGCCTTTCCTTACAACTGCAGTCCCTCCCTCCCTCCCTTCTTTTCCCACTTGGCTCAGACATCCTGGGAGAGATGATAGAGCCGGGGACACACTGCTGCTGGAGCCTGGCATATGGTCCTATCATACAGTTCCTGTAACAGGGCCTTGACCCTCTTGGTACAAAATGACAGTCGTAGTCTTGACCTACTCAATTAATACCGGAGGAGGACACAACACACTTAGCTCGTATGCCCGGATGTTTGTTGGTTGTTGTGGGGCTTGGACTCTGGGCCTTGCGCTCCTCAGCTCAAGGCGAGCGCTCTACCACTTGAGCCCCGGCACCACTTCCGGTTTTCTGGTGGTTCGTTGGAGAAAAGAGTCTCAAGGATTGTCCTGCCCGGTCTGGCTTTGAACCTCGATCCTCAGATCTCCGCCTCCTGGGTAGCCAGGATGACAGGCGTGAGCCACCGGTGCCCAGCCTGGATCTCTTTCTTTCTTTTTTTTTTTTAAGTCAGAAGGATAAGGTATTCATGGAAGCCACAGTCCCAGGGGAAGCAGGTAACGCTCTTGCTTCTGCTTGTCTGGACCTCTGTGCAGTCCATCTCTATCCAGCCTCCATCCATGGCCACAGGGCCCTTCACAGCCCTGGGGTTTGCTGTGGTCGGGTCCCTGAGCCCTGGGGTGGGGGCCTCAACTTTCTCGGGAACTTCCCGGTGCCCTGGGGAAGTTTACTTCGGGCATCCTGCATGCACGTTTGCTTGGTGGACTGAAACACGCATCAGCCCCTGCTGAGGAGCTGATTCTGGGGTTGTCAAAACTGTCGAAAGTAAAAGCAAGATTCTGCAGTCTGAGGTTGTTAAACAGATGTCCTTGGGTGATATTTTAGGCTCTCAGCTGTATAGCTGAGTTCTGTAGCAGGTAGAAGTGCTTTTCATCCTTCTTCATCTCTTCCTCCTCCTGCTCCCCCTCCTCCTTCTTTTTCCTCCTCCTCCTCTTCCTCCTCTCTTCCTACCTTCTTTCTTCTTCCTTTTCTTTTGCCGCCTCCTCCTCCTCCTCTTCTCCTCCTCTTCCTTCTTCTCTTCTGCCTCCTCCTCTTCTTCCTTCTTTCTTCTGCCGCCTTCTCCTCCTTCTCTCCTCCTCCTCATCCTCTTCTTCTTCATCATCTTCCTTCTTCCTTCTTTCTTCTGCCTCTTCCTCTTCTTCCTCCTCCTCCTCCTTCGCTTCAGTACTATGGATTGAACTGAGGACTTTGTGCTTCCTAGGCAGGTCTACCCTTGGAGCCACACACCCAGCCTTTTTCTGTACTAGCTCTTTTTACAGCGCATCATTCCCCTGTTGGCCTGGGCTGCCATCCACCTCCCTGTGCCTCCCTGTGTCACTGGAGATAACACATGTGTGCCACTTCCCCCATAGCTGTGATAGCAGGCTTGTACCACTGCATCCAGCTGCTGGTTGAGATGGAGTCTCACCAACGTTTATGCCCGAGCTGGCCTCCAATTGTGTTCCCCTGATCTCTCCCTCCGAAGTAGCTAGGATTGCAAGCTTGAGCCACCACACTGAGCCCTCTGCCCTTTTTTCTTTTCCACTGTTCTCCCAGCTTTAGCTCGCAAAGCGAATACCCCCTCTGTTGGGCCCCCAGGAATTTGTTTTATTATTGGTTTTTATTTTTTTATTTTTGTCAGTTGTAGGGCTTGAACTCTGGGCCTGGGCGCTGTCCCTCAGCTCTTCAGCTGAAAGTGAGCACTCTACCACCTGAGCCACAGTACCACTTCTGGTTTTCTGGTGGTTCATTAGAGGTAAAGAGTCTCATGGACTTTCCTGCCCAGGCTGGCTTTGAACCACGATCCTCAGATCTCAGCCTCCTGAGTAGCCAGAATGACAGGTGTGAGCCACCAGCGCCTGGCTAGGTTTTTGTTTTATATACTGGTGTTGCATTGTAGTGACATCTGCAGGTATGTCTGCCTTCCAATCATGAACACGGGTAGGGCGGCCACTCACCTGGGTTTGTGGAACAATGTATTTTATGTCACGGCCATGTCTTGTCATTTCATGAGAAACCCTGGGTTTATCAAACCCGCTCTGGGGTTTGATATACGTGAATACAACCAGTGGTCTTTTGATGAGGTGAAAGGGTCATGGGTCATCCTGGCTGGCTGCCAGAGACTGGATTCAAAACCCTGCTAGTCCTATAATTATTGTCTTATACACGCAAGGTTACTTCATTTTCCATGAAAACTAGGTTATTAGCAACAATGCTTGACACTCCGACTTCCTCTTTCCAATTCATCTTGCACATGGCTGCCAGGTAATAACAGATTCTCATGTCAAAGTCAAGCAATGCACCAGCAGACGCTGGTTTTCATCTTTTTTTTGCTGCTGGAGGCATTCCCTCCAGCCCTCCTCCACCTGTCAGAGCAGACTGACTCCCTGGAGATCATTTCATGCCCATGATGAGCTGGACAAGGCTGGAGCTAGAGCCCTGGTTTCCTGGCTAGGACCAAGCGGCCCACCCACTTCAGCTCCAAGTCGTCACTTACTTCTCCCTCCTCCACTCCTTTCCCGGGTTGATAAGGCTGTCACAGCCTCTCCCCCGTTTGCTTCTAGAGATAAACCTTCCACTTCACCCCCTTGGTGGGAGGAGATTCCGGCTGATCAAGGCAGGCTTACCCCCTAGCAACCTCCCAAGGGTATCCAAGCTACCAACCTCAGTCCCTGCCCTCACTTACCCCAACGCCTGGAGTCTGTGGATGCTCAATGTATCCTTCCGTGGCTCAGTGTGTCTCCTTCCTTGCTCTAAGCAGAGGACAAGCTCCAGCTTGTGGTACAGCCAGGGGCCTGTCAGCCCCATTAGCCAGCTCACCTGAATGCAAAACAAGCCATTTTACTCAACACTGCGGTTTCCCAGGACTCCTTTTATCCCTCCTCGTGATACCAGAAACTGATAGGAACCCATGTGTCCGGATGTCCGTGCCTCACAAGAGAATCCAAAAGCACTGGGCCATCAGCAAATGGTCTTCAGACACCTTAGTGGTTCTTGTACCCGCTTTCTAAAGGACAGAGCTGTCAGTTAGACCGCAGGACGCTAGCAGTTGACCGTTCCTACCAAAGACAGCACTAGACACACGAGTTTGCCTGCCCCTCCAGTCCCCATGTAGATGAACCTGGGAAGGTCTATCTGGGGGACCAGAGCTGAAGCTGTCTTCTGTCCTCAGGACCCACACCTCTCCTGGCCTCTGTGTACAGCCCTTATACGTAGGTTTTGTTTCCAAAAACATCATTTATCCCCCCTGCCTCGTGTTTTGCGAGGCCATCCTTCCCCTTGCCCTCATTTTTCTCCTCCTGGAGAGTTGCTCGTGGATCATGTAAAGTAGGCTCCGGGGAGACGTTCCAGAAGTGATTTGAACAGTCTCAGGGGAAGAGCAGGCAGCAGGGACTGCAGCCAGCCTACACTGGCAGAAGCAACCAAAACCATGTCCTCTTGTCCCCGTGCCAAGAGATAAAAGCACTTGGCTTTTTTTTTTTTAATCATCTGTGAATATGAGACGCAGGGAAACAAAAGGAAGAGACAGGAAGGGCCAGTCCCCAGTAGGAGTCCTCTCAGACCCTTTGTTCTATCAAGCCCCCCCCTACCTTTTCAGGATTGCTGGCGTACAATGCATGACGGTGGCCGGCTACTCCAAGGGCTTTGGCTACCAGATAGGTCAGAGCTTCTCCGGGGAGTTTGACCATGCCTGGAACGCCGTGTTCCTGGAGGGGAGATGGCACCTACTGGACCTCACCTGGGGCAGCGGCCTGGTGAACACCACCACCTCCAAATTCACCTTCCTGTGAGTATGAGTCTTGTCTGCTCAGTGGGCATGGGGACAGGACGGGTGGGCTGTGGACTAGATTTGACTTCTATCCTGCTCTGGCCAACCTTATCTTTAACTTAAGATTGTCTCGGATAGCCGGGCGCCAGTGGCTCACTCCTGTCATCCTAGCTACTCAGGAGGCTGAGATCTGAGGATCGAGGTACAAAGCCAGCCCAGGCAGGAAAGTCCATAAGACTCTAATCTCCAAGGAACCACCAGAAAACCAGAAGTGGCGCTGTGGCTCAAGTGGTAGAGCGCTTGCTTTGAGCTGAAGAGCTGAGGGACAGCGCCCAGGCCCAGAGTTCAAGCCCCATAACTGACAAAAAAAAAAAAAAAAAGATTGTCTTGGATCACTATAGCTACCAGCAGGCTCAGGCTCCTCTCATACCGGACAATGAGAAGAGTTTGTGCAGCTGAAATCGTAACACTCCCACACTCACAACAAATACAAGCCATGTGCACACCAACACCGTACACACTGGGCTCTCACACTCTGGCATATTATCTTCCTCCGTTGCTCTGAATGCCGGCAGAGTGGAGGCTCCCCATCTCAGACTGAGCCTCCATTCTTCTTTCGGTCTCCATCATTCAAGAACATTCCTGTGATAGGGCCGCCCAGGGAGCCAGCAATGAAGGCCCCGGCTACACAGTTACCCAGGCACAGTGATAAGAGGGGGAACAGGTGGAAAGAGTGCCCGGGGTGCTTTGTCTTCTGTCCCCGGATGCCTCCTCCACTGCCCACAGCTGGCTTGCTGGTTACACCTTTGCTCCCTTCAAATTTCCTTTTGGGGTTGAGCCACACACTGCCTCCCTCCACCCCAATCCCCCAACCCCGGGTATCCTCAATTTTAAGCCACGGCCTCCTCCTTGGCAGAGGCCTCAGATCCTGCTTGACTCCAGAGTCTAAAAACAACCCACTGAGGAGTCTTCAGTGTTCACATTTAGGACGGGAAGTAGCCCCTCTTCTCACACGGGCTATCAGCCGACGTCCCTCCCCTCTGTTGGGCGCTGTCAGTCAAAAGAGGCCTCCCAGAATTCCGCTGGGAGCAAGGGCCTCATTCTCCACCCGCACCCCACCCCCCTCCCGGGATGGCTGGTGATCAGTTCTCTCTCTCCTGCAGCTACAATGAATTCTACTTCCTCACCCATCCCGCGCTGTTCATCGAGGACCATTTCCCAGACAACAAGAACTGGCAACTACTGAAACCCCCTCAGTCCCTGAGGCAGTTTGAGAACAACATGTATCACAAGAGCGAGTTCTACAACAAGGGGATGCTCAGCGCTCGCCCAGACACCTCCATGATCAGAACAGGTAACCTGGGGGCCAGGCCCACCCTGGTCCACGCACACATTTGACTGCGGGGGTTGGCAGACAGCAGAGAGAAAGACTGCATCAGGCCACCAGGACCGGGCAGAGCCACAGATCACCTTGGTGAACGCCAGAAAGGGGGATGCACCAGAGAGTGGCGGGTTTCCTAGCACACCAGCCTGGCCTGTGGCAGGAGCCAGGGTGGGAGGGTCCTGAGCTCCCTGAGCCAATGAGGGCTCCGCTTGGCCTGCTTAGACCCCCTGGTCCTCCTGTAAGCAGGATGCAGGCTTTGTTCAGACAGCATTCCCAGAACGGAGATGTACAGAGCACCCCAAGCCTAGGGCACCTTCCACAGCTCGGCCTCCATGCATGTGGGACAGGAGAGACAGGAGGCTATCAACCAGGTTGGGCTGGGGATGGGCCCCAAACCTTACCCCACACTGCAGTGAGGCAGGGCGGGGCAGTCAAGGAGCACAAGCTAGGCCCAGGTGACCTGCCCCTTCTACATCTCACCAGATAGCTTAACCAGGATGCCCAGCTCCCACACACTCCGAAAAAGCTACACTGCACCTGGCGGCTCCCGTGGCTAAAATAACAGTGTAGGGCTGCTCACTTTGAGACTGTGTTTCCTGAGCTGACATTTGATGGAGGCTTGTTTCAGGCTGCCGTGGGCCATCAAACCACAGGAAAAGAATCCACCACGGCATGGTAACATTACACTCCTGTGACTGAGTTGAGTTCGCCTTTTCAAGAGGCATACAAGTGTAAACCGCCCATTCCTTAGTTCGTCGTCACCTAACATTTGATTTCATACTTACGATACATATGGAATCTTTCTTGGTGGCTGTCTTAAAGAGGAAAGATGGAGCCGGGCACCGGAGGCTCACACCTGTCATCCTAGCTACTTGTGAGGCTGAGATTTGAGGATAACGGTTCAAAGCCAGCCCAGGCAGAAATGTTTGTGAGACTCTTATCTCCAATTAACCACTAGAAAAACGGAAGTGGCGCTGTGGCTCAAGTGGTAGAGCGCTGGCCTTGCGCTGTAGAGCTCAGGGACAGCACCCAGGCCCAGAGTTCAAGCCCCATGACCAACCAAAAATAAATCTTGGAAGTGTTGACACCAGACACACAGCAAACACTATTAGGGGAAGAGTGTCACACACAGGAAACACACACACATGTACACAGGAGTCAGATCAGCCTTGGACCCCACCTCACCTTGACCTTAACTTTGTGTCCACAGTGAACGGGAAGGCCACGATCACCATCGAGAGCTGCGCCCCGACGCTGTTCATGTTCATGCTCAATGGCAAACAGGAGCACGGGCTGCTGAGCCTGAAGAAGAATGGGATGAGGCTAGAGGTGTACCCTCCCACCACGGGCACCCACAAGCTCCAGATCTTCGCCAAGGGCGACTCCGACATCTACAGCTCCGTGCTTGAGTACATCATCAAGTGCAACTATGTGGATCTGGGTGTCCAGCTGCCAACCGAGCTTCACCAGCCGGTGGGCCCCAGCTGGTTCTCAGAGCAGATGGGCATCATGAAACCCTCCCATCCTGACCCTATCATCCACACCAGTGACGGGCGCTGCTCCATCAGCTTCCGCCTGGGGGAAGGGATCAGCATCCTGGCGTCCTTACACGGAGATGACAGTCCCATCACCGAGGAGACGCAGAGGCGTTACATCTTCCAGGTGCAGAGAGAGAAGCGGACAGAGTTCAAAGTCCAGCTGCCCCACGCCGGCAAGTTCGCTTTCAAGATCTTCGTCAAGAAGAGGAAGGAGCCGGGCAATTATAGCTTTGTCTTCAATTACCTCCTGTGCTGTGCCAACACCAAGGTGAACTGGCCCGTGTTCCCTGAGATCTTCGGCAACTGGGCGCAGGACAATGAGCTGCTAGAGCCTCTGTCCGGCGTGCTGCCTGCCAATCGGAACATCCCATTCAAACTGAAGCTGCCCGGTATTGCCAAAGCCCTGGTGAAGGGGCGGGACACGTGGCCCTTGACCCTAAACCGCGAGGGTTACTGGGAGGGCTGCTGCAGCACAGCTGGCTGTCAGGAAATGTACATCATGGTGCTGGAGAACGCCAACCACAACTTCTACTCCTACATCCTGAAATATCAAGTGAACGCCCAGTGAAGGACTGTACCCCACCTTTCTTAAGAGGCCAGGGCCAATCCTCTCCCAAGGAGGGTTCCAGAGAAATACAGAGAGCCCCAAGCACTCACCTCTGATCTGCACAAACCACTTCCAGGCCTCTGACTTCTGTTTCCCCCGCCACTGCTGCACACGAGCTCCGGGGTGACCGCGTGCTAGGTTGTTTTAACCCCGTGCGGCCCTGGCTGAGGAGACGAGACACAAAAAGACCCTTGGGATGAAAACGGTGCTATGTAAATCCAAGGTAATTGTGACCTGGACATCCCCCGTGCGTGGCTGTCCCCTCTCTCGTAGTAGTGCTGTCGTGGTTGTAGGGTTGATGGTGGGAAAGGAGAGAACACGTCCGGGCTGCCAGCTTGGTTGTGATTCGTTCGGAGAGGAGCATACTTCACAAGTCCCAAGTTACCAGTGAATCAGAGAGCCCCCTTCCGAAAAGCATGCTTGTGGTTTTGTTTTGTTTTGTTTTTCCTCTTCCTGGGGATGTTGGACCTGACCGTCTTCTACTTTCCACTGTCTCTTCATTAGCCACTGTCTGCTCTTCACAAGTTCTGCATTTATAAAGAAAAGAAGAAGAAGGGATGCAAAGGAAGTTAGGTGCCCCACAGCTAGCTAGTGGGCTACAAGCTGAGCATCTCCATGAGTTACTGGACAAGAGCATTAAGTAGCCAAGTGTGCACCCCTGGGTGTCCTGGGTGGGAGAAGGGGAAGGGGAGGATGGGGGAAACCATTGGGAAGAAGTGATGCCCATAGCAGTCCTGCAACTCCAGCCCAAGGTAGAAAGGCCTTAGACTCACTGCTCTTTCCTAAGTTCAGCCCACGGCTCGGACATGCCCTCCTGACTCTTTTAAGAGCCTGGGCTCCATGCTCCATGCCCGGCCTCATCCTGCTGGGCCTCCAGAGACCTGGTCTCTAAGTCAAGAGATGAGACTGGTGAGCAGGTGGGAGCAGGTGGGTCAGCAGCAATTCTGGAGCCGCTCAGGTAATGACAGGGCTACACACACACACACACACACACACACAGGCTACACACACACACACAGGCTACACACACACACACACACAGGCTACACACACACACACAAACACACACACCTGATCCCCACAGCAAAGCCAGGCTGGGGAAACTACCAGAGAACACTGTTGCATTTGTCCCTGAGAAAAGCCCCGATCCCATCTCTCTGCTTGTTTTCCTTTGAGAGGAGAAACCCCTAAGTCCTGCCTTCCGCTGAGGGTATGATTCAGGGCCCCTTGCTTTCTCAGGCCTGTCCTGAGAAGCTTCAAGATGCCCAGCACGCACCCTGGGTAGTGCCTGAGGCTGGTGTTTCCATAGCAACAGCGGAAAAGGCTGGGCTTATCGAGAGGAAGGGCTGGAGAGGATCCACCTTTCTGGAGTTCCAGGCTCCCGATCCTTCACTCCATGATTCCTTAGACCTGTTACCCGGCATGTATCTAAGCCCAAGGCCCATTTACAGGGTGCCCCACCTCCCTCCACCCATCTGGGGGCCTCTACCCAGGGAAGGCAGAACCCCTGGGGATCTGAGCAGTCTCGGCCCATGCCCAGCACCTTCTTCTGATAGGCTTGGCCACCCGGTACCAAAGCATTCGTGTCAAAAAAAATTAAAAATCATCATCATCACAGGAATATTCTGAAGGCATAACTGGTACTCCATGTTTGCATCTTGCAAACAGCCTTTTCTCACATCATTTGAGTCTAGGGGTTGAAATGAAATGTGCACTTTCTCAAAATTAGTGAGCGCCTTCTTTGACTCCTATCATTGGGTACCAAGTGAGCTTTGCAGAAGACAACTTACATCTTAAATTTGAAGGGGGAAAAAAAAAGCATAGTTAATCAATACATTGCCACCCAGCAAAACAGGAGCTGTCTGGAGGGGGGCGGAGGGGGGGAGAGAGAGAGAGAGAGAGAGAGCTAGCACCACCAGGGAACAAGAATGCCCCCTCCCTCCTCATTTAACCAGGTAACTCCTTTTGTTAAGACAGCTGCTGTAAGGCGCAGTCAGAAAAAAAAAAAAAAATCACCTGCATTTCTTTCCACCGAAGGAGGGGGAAAAAATATACCAGATGAAATCCAATCTTCATGAATTTTTACACGCATGCTGCTCAGGCAAGAAATCTGGGGTTGCATTTTGAAGGCTTTTATTCAAATCCCCATCTTTGTCTCCTGATTGACAATTTTTTTTTTCCCCAGTCGCTGGATAGAATGGCACACAGGTGCCCCCTGGTGGTGGTTTCGAGAGCAGAATTACCAGAGCAGCAAACCTACCAGGGCTGACTCCATTCATTCCCCTGGGCTTTTTTGATGCAAAGTTGGGAGGGGAAAAAACAAAAAAAAAAAAACTGTTAAAATGTTTTATGTTAACATCACTGGATGCTTTCTCGTGGTTTTCCAGTGTTTCTACGTGCATGCACCTCACACAGCTGTGAGAGAAAACTGGGGAACTCCCTGGCCTGGTAAAAAGATGCTGGAATGTGGAAATATTGTTATTATTATTACTTGGCCTGGAAATCTCTTCCTGAGACCAAAACCCTGGACACAAAACCCTGGATAGGGCAGCTTTGATCACACCCTCTTCTGTGCCAATAACGGATGGAAACTGATCAAACTCAGCCCCAAGAAGGCTTCCAGGGTTCCAGGAGTGTGGGACAGGGTAGAGCAATTAACTTCCTTTCAGCTTGCTTTGGAAGTGCCACCAAGCCCAGTGGGAACTCTTGTTTTCAGTGTGATTATGATCATTGTGAGTTCCCCCGACTAGGTTACACAGTCCCCACCAGGACCAACTTCTCCTGGTCTGTTGAGATTAAAGAGAAATAAATAGATTCGCTGAAGCATGGAAGATTTAGGCTAGACACAAAGAAGTATTTCCTGTGGCTAAGCAGGAGGGACGTGTTGCCAAGAAAGTTTTGTGAAATTCTCTTCCTCAAAGGGGCTTGAAAAGGAGCAAAGTTTTCCCATTGGTTCTGGAGTTTTCCAAGCCGTGCTCACTGGAAGGAGTAGGGGCTCTCTAAAACCAATTAAGTCTCGAAAAGACACCAGTTCGCCCACAGTAAACACGGGGTTAACCCTAGGACCATATCACTGGCTACTGGCAAAGATTTCAAAGGTAGTGTACACATCGGGTGGCAGACGTTGGCTTATCAGGGGTCTGTTTAATTTCATTTGAAGTAAGTAGTTGGAAACCCAAGAGGTGATTACTTCTCATGATGCGTGTATTGTGTGGACTGATGACTTGTTGAACATGCTTTCTCCACATTGTTGCTGGGGTTGTTTTTCAATAAAATTTATATTCATTTTTATCCAACCCTGTAATGATCGATCCATGCTTCTCCCTGCTCTTATGAGGGGAAAAAAAATATTAAAAAGAAAAAAAAAAACACTTTCATGTTCAAAGAGTGCCCTAGAAAAAAAAAATCAATGTCCCAGCTATCTGAATGTGATACTAGATGCAAATGAAATGTCAGACAAATAGCTATTCCACATTAAAGAAAACATAATTAGGTTAGCTCCAAGCCTCTCTCCAGCTCACATCCTTTGAAGAGCATAAAGGCCGTATCTCTTTTCGTTGAATCTTGTTTAACTTGAAATTTTTTAAAGTCAATCCAAATTTCTTTTTATAGTGGGAGGAAAAAAAGAATGTGCCAAAAATGCCTGTCAATGCACTTTTTTTTTGGAGGGGGGAGGATTTTGAATATATGAAATCTATGTCTTGAAATGTGTATGCCGACGGAAACTTCCCGGCACGTTCCCTAAACTGATTATTCACCAATTAGACATTTAGGGGAAGATGGGGAGGGTGGGGGGAATAAAAACCCAGGCACCTCTGAGAAGCTGCTGTAACCATGGAGACTACACTCATAGCGGTAGTAGGAAGAACAAAAGGGACCGGTGTCCCCAAATCTGGGGACACACATGTGTGCATATGAGATACAGTGAGATACAGTGCATTTCCGCCCCTCCCGCCTTGGGAAAGAATATAGCAGGTAGACCCTCTGTCTTTAGCCAAGTCAGGAAAAATGGTGTTTCAACTGCAGAGAGAAAAACTCTTGGATGATTAGAACTGGTCTGGAAATGCCAGCCTCTGCAGAGGCTAGATGATAGATATGACCTCCAATGTCCCTTCCAGCCCAGGGAGTTTGTGAAGCTGTGTCTCTCTGAACAGATGCTGGCAGGCGCGACCTGCGGATGTCACTGACTGAACATCTGAAAGGTCCCGCTGCGTTAAGAGCCTACTCCTCCAGCCCCGCGGCAGACTGCACCGTTGGGTTCTCCTCTTGCCGGAGGGCAGGAGACTGGAGATGGTCCAGCAGAGGGTCCAAGACGGGCAGGAGCCCCTGACAGGAGGTTTGGTTTGCTCTGATTTTGCAAGTGGAACTCAAAGGAAACTAAAAGCCCTCCACTGCCCGCCCTCCCCCGGGCTGTCCATTTTTGCATGTCTCATCCCCTACCTCCAGCTCGGTTTGATCCTCCCTGTGATGAGTTCAGATGCGTGTGTTTATCAGTACTGTCCACACAGGGGCCTCTCCTTAGAACACAGGTAGCACCAAGACGAGACTTTCAGAAAGCCCTGCAGATTCTTCCGCTCACTGTCTGAGAAGCCATCACCAGGGCTGGGAAGCAGTAGGAGCTAGGGGAAGAAAAGCTCAGTCCACACACACCCCACTTCCTCCTCCCCCCCCACACACACACACCTTTGTTCTCTGGAGAAAGCTAATACAAGGTCCTCACTTCCTGGATAGTAATAATGGAAAGCTGACTCTACATCCCACCCTTAGTAGAGACAGAGCCTACAGGTTAATAAACTACACCGGGTAAGTCAACCAGTAGCACACAGATTGCATCCTCGTTGTTGATACTAGTGACATGTTCAGGGGTACCATTCCAATACCCTTGGGGGTCAGGGGAAGCCAGGACTGAGAGCCAGTTGGGACACGATGTAATAACCCACGGAAGACTAAAAGGCTAAGGAC